TCCATCATCTACCTGTACTGCAACTACACCGACCCCAGCTAGACCACCACCATGTCTACTTCATCATCTACCTGTACTGCAACTAAACCGACCCCAGCTAGACGACCACCATGTCTACTCCATCATCTACCTGTACTGAAACTACACCAACCCCAGCTAGACCCACCGCCATGTCTACTCCATCATCTATCTGTACTGCAACTACACTGACCCCGCCTAGACCACCGCCATGTCTACTCCATCATCTACCTGTTCTGCAACTTCACTGATCCCAGCTAGACCCACCGCCATGTCTACTCCATCATCTACCTGTACTGCAACTACACTGACCCCAGCTAGACCACCACCATGTCTACTCCATCATCTACCTGTACTGCAACTACACTGACCCCGGCTAGATCACCACCATGTCTACTCCATCATCTACCTGTACTGCAACTACACTGACCCCAGCTAGACCACCACCATGTCTACTTCATCATCTACCTGTACTGCAACTACACCGACCCCAGCTAGACCACCACCATGTCTACTCCATCATCTACCTGTACTGCAACTACACCGACCCCAGCTAGACCACCACCATGTCTACTCCATCATCTACCTGTACTGCAACTACACTGACCCCAGCTAGACCCACCGCCATGTCTACTCCATCATCTACCTGTACTGCAACTACACTGACCCCAGCTAGACACACCACCATGTCTACTCCATCATCTACCTGTACTGCAACTACACTGACCCCAGCTAGACCCACCGCCATGTCTACTCCATCATCTACCTGTACTGCAACTACACCGACCCCGGCTAGACCCACCGCCATGTCTACTTCATCATCTACCTGTACTGCAACTACACTGACCCCAGCTAGACACACCACCATGTCTACTCCATCATCTACCTGTACTGCAACTACACCGACCCCAGCTAGACCACCACCATGTCTACTCCATCATCTACCTGTACTGCAACTACACTGACCCCGGCTAGATCACCACCATGTCTACTCCATCATCTATCTGTACTGCAACTACACTGACCCCAGCTAGACCACCGCCATGTCTACTCCATCATCTACCTGTACTGCAACTACACCGACCCCGGCTAGACCACCACCATGTCTACTCCATCATCTACCAGTACTGCAACTACACTGACCCCAGCTAGACCACCACCATGTCTACTCCATCATCTACATGTACTGCAACTACACCGACCCCGGCTAGACCACCACCATGTCTACTCCATCATCTTCCTGTACTGCAACTACACCGACCCCAGCTAGACACACCACCATGTCTACTCCATCATCTATCAGTACTGCAACTACACTGACCCCGCCTAGACCACCACCATGTCTACTTCATCATCTACCTGTACTGCAACTACACCGACCCCAGCTAGACCACCACCATGTCTACTCCATCATCTACCTGTACTGCAACTACACTGACCCCAGCTAGACCACCACCATGTCTACTCCATCATCTACCTGTACTGCAACTACACCGACCCCAGCTAGACCACCACCATGTCTACTCCATCATCTACCTGTACTGCAACTACACTGACCCCAGCTAGACCACCACCATGTCTACTCCATCATCTACCTGTACTGCAACTACACTGACCCCAGCTAGACCCACCGCCATGTCTACTCCATCATCTACCTGTACTGCAACTAAACCGACCCCAGCTAGACCACCACCATGTCTACTCCATCATCTACCTGTACTGCAACTACACCGACCCCGGCTAGATCACCACCATGTCTACTCCATCATCTACCTGTACTGCAACTACACTGACCCCAGCTAGACCACCACCATGTCTACTCCATCATCTACCTGTACTGCAACTACACTGACCCCGGCTAGATCACCACCATGTCTACTCCATCATCTACCTGTACTGCAACTACACTGACCCCAGCTAGACCACCACCATGTCTACTCCATCATCTACCTGTACTGCAACTACACCGACCCCGGCTAGATCACCACCATGTCTACTCCATCATCTACCTGTACTGCAACTACACTGACCCCAGCTAGACCACCACCATGTCTACTCCATCATCTACCTGTACTGCAACTACACCGACCCCGCCTAGACCACCGCCATGTCTACTCCATCATCTACCTGTACTGCAACTACACTGACCCCAGCTAGACCACCACCATGTCTACTCCATCATCTATCTGTACTGCAACTACACTGACCCCAGCTAGACCCACCGCCATGTCTACTCCATCATCTACCTGTACTGCAACTACACTGACCCCAGCTAGACCACCACCATGTCTACTCCATCATCTATCTGTACTGCAACTACACTGACCCCAGCTAGACCACCGCCATGTCTACTCCATCATCTACCTGTACTGCAACTACACCAACCCCAGCTAGACCACCGCCATGTCTACTCCATCATCTATCAGTACTGCAACTACACTGACCCCAGCTAGACCACCGCCATGTCTACTCCATCATCTACCTGTACTGCAACTACACTGACCCCAGCTAGACCACCACCATGTCTACTCCATCATCTACCTGTACTGCAACTACACTGACCCCAGCTAGACCCACCGCCATGTCTACTTCATCATCTACCTGTACTGCAACTACACTGACCCCAGCTAGACCCACCGCCATGTCTACTCCATCATCTACCTGTACTGCAACTACACTGACCCCAGCTAGACCACCGCCATGTCTACTCCATCATCTACCTGTACTGCCACTACACCGACCCCAGCTAGACACACCACCATGTGTACTCCAGGACGTTCATCTACCAGTATTTCAATGGCCGCATGGAACTTTGGGTAGAAGAGTGACGACGACTGTGTCTAACACAAATGAGACACCTGCTACAGCAACAGCCAAACTATCTACCGTGTCCTCCCATTTGTCAGGTTTTCCATCAGTCAGGCAGCTAAAACAACAAACTATATGGCCGATTGCACAGATAATCCCCTTACTGTTACCTATATTAAAATGGTTTGGTCCAACTGTTACTGACTGACAAAACAATTTTGTCTTTTGGATAGTTACTCTAAAATCCTATTTATCACAATACTCTGCTAGCTTACAGAGGATTGTCTGTACGCCATCATCTTCCCGAGGCAAGGGCGTTAACTGAAAACATAAAAGTACTGTTTCCATAGTCAGCTGTAACGCCCTTACCTCGATCGGGAAGATGTTAATCCATTTGCAAAATCGCTTAATATAACCATACCATCTGCAAATAATAACAATATGTGATTGATAATGGACCATCGATAGGCAAAATGATGGCGTTATCAAGTTACAGTTTGTGGACAGCACTTTGTCTGATAACTTGCGGACCGTTTTATGATAATTCTGTCTCTTTCAGCTATACAAATGAATATTAAAATACAGGTCTACAGACATTTATTTTCAGGGGAATATGCACTTCACCCCATAAGCAATACGCTCATGGACGTACGTACTTAATTCAAATAGAGATAAAGATCTAAACAAAGATCATGATATGGTCTCTGATCTAAATGGGTGCAGGCTAAAACGGCACCTCAGCAAAACGTCACCGATTTCTCTGGCGAAAACGGCACCGCATTTGGCGGAAACGGCACCTCTATTTCTAATAATGATAAGAACGATTTATGTACAATGTAGTAGTATATCTGATTTATGTTATTTGTTACATATTATTTGATGTATTTACATGTTATTTCCAGTTGTTCACAGATAATTACATACATTCACATATATACAATATATATTTTATGGCCGCTGTCAATACACTGAAAGGAAAGGCCTTGCGAGCATGGTATAAGATCAAAAGTTCACTGAAATCAACTTCTCATCTCCCAGCAGACATTCTCATTCGCTTGTATAATGTCTTAATTGTACCCATTGCATCATATGGAGCCGAGGTATGGGGCTGCAGTCTTCTAAGACCCCCGCATGAAATGTATCATAACTGGTCTAAACAACTATGTAATGAGATCACTATCAAAATAGCAAAGCAGATTCTAGGAGTTCTTTTTGTACTGTCCAAATTATCAGAATGAAAGACAGATACTTCTTAGAAGACTAGACTTACAAAACTGCTAAATTGATAATAAAATCTTAGCAAATATCCTGAACCCCTGTCCCGAAAGAGGAAAATATGTTTCACAAATTATCTCCGACATGTTTATTAAAAGAACCTCTCTTATAGACAACATCTAGATATGACCTTATTTTACTTCAAGGCATGTTATGTTTTCACAATAATTTGAGTTGCGTATAGGCTAAGTTGGAATATAGTTGGAGTAGAGGCTAAATTCTAATGTAAAAGTTAGCTAGTTGTAACATTTCACAATTATTGGTGTTTGCAAGCGACCATGTTAGTTTAATATCATTTATTTTATCAAGGTTAAAAAAAAATAGGGTGCCGTTTTCGCCAGGCAATAGTAGCCGTTTTCGCCTGAGGCGAGGTGACGTTTTCGCCAATCGGTGCCGTTTTCGCCAGGTGACGTTTTGCTGAGGTGCCGTTTTAGCTATAACCCGATCTAAATGACTAAAACTGTTGTTTGGGTATGATTGTAATATATTTGGGCTGTGTCGCGTTCGTTAAAACACACGAATCATAATAATGGACTATTTCTTTCTTTCTGAAGTGGGTGACGCAGTAATAAACGACAGCTTGTAACTGACACGTAAATTACATTAAAAGTGTACATGACAAAGAAGTCTAACCATGCTAAACCATTTTCCGAATGGTACATTAATAAGGTCCACATGATATTACAATCACACAAAAATAAACGTTTCATACTGGCAACATAATATTACAAAATAGTCGTTTAAATGCGGGAAAATATTATTGAAATCATATTGAATTCATTTTTCGTATATGGTATAACATATATCATCGTTCATTATCATTGTGACAACACGACCCAGTTTTGTCAGGCTTGCAGTCAGACTTTGCTCGTTCTGACCCAAGCCCTTAGGTCAAGGTCGCCTAACTGGATTGGTTATGCACGGGGCAGCCTGACCCGAATTGGCTATCTCTCGCTGTACATATTATCAAACAGTCAAAGTACTTGTCTTTTCACCACTGCACCATCATGGCGAACAGGGACAAAGCGACCAACCAGTTAAATGATTTCAGCAAAACCCAGGGGGTGAGTTGGCCTTGTTGTCATGTTGTAGAAGTGACAAAGACATGACAAAACAAGAGTTGTCTACTTTCGGCCAAAGTACACTTGTAGTTGTAGAACCGCACATCGCACACTGTGACAGGGTTGTTTCCAGTAGGCTCTAGTGATCTCCAGTGGGATCCAGTGATGCTTTCACTGCGACATTGTGAACGTGACTTGATCGGGTGACTTATGGGTGTATCATTTAATGCTTGTGGCAGTCTTTTGTGTGCAGTTGATAATAACTGAGAGTAAACACCGGAAACCCTGTGTTATGAGGTTATTGGTTGTTTTTTGCAAATTCGTTGTTTGATGTCCACATGACATATGAACAGATTTGTGATATTCCGTTTCAACCGAAATTGTGTATTCAGTGAGTCTGTCAATGATTTACAATGTATATAGGGAGATAGCTATATGAAAGTACAAGTGGAATCTGAGAAAAATGATTATTTCATGACATGCTAAGAGATCACGAAGGTAGGCCGGGCAAAATTAATGGCATAAAATTGCAGGAGGCAATAGAAATGGATAAATTACAAAATAAAACCATGTGAAGTAAATAAGATAATTCAGGATATTATTTTAACAACTGTTACTATTAAAAGGGCTCATGCAAACAGCTAGGGTTCTGACGGTACATGAGTACTTGAGCCATGTTTGGGTTCAGATGGACTGGTGTGTTACATAAAAGACTCAAGCACCCAACCTGAAGAGATATGTCACACCTTTACTTCTACTCCCTGTGTTGCTGACATTGAAGAAGAAACTCTGGTTTCTGTGTGCATTTTTAACATAAAGCAGGGATTTATCTAGACCTGCTCAGAGGCTGATATTCGACCCCAAGACTGCAGAAAATGTCAATAAAAATTCCAAAGTAGGAACTAAACATTTCCCAATTGATGTTACAATGTATTAATATATAACTAACTAATTTCATGGCTTTGTAGAAGTAACCTTTATTTACTTATTGTAAGACTAACAAATAGGAATAGGTTTTAATGCTTTGTTTTATATTATTGCATTTTGTGCAATCTCAAAATACCTCTGAACTTGAGAAAATATAATCTTATAAAAAATCCCAAGTTTGAACAAAATAATTTTGTTCCCAAATTTGCCTGCCATGGGCACTTATATAGTTTATCCTATATTAATCCTAGTAAAGAGTCATAAGGCTATCACTATATTGTTAGGTCATGCGCAGTAGAGCTCTGGCATGTACATCTTGTGAGAGAGAGCACATGGCAACAGTCACACATGTAAGTTACGGGAATAAACTCATCTTGGACTATCATTTCAATTTTGTGTGGATGGGAAATGATCACGTTAACAGACTATGGAATATTACCGTTGCAGCCCGGTACTTGAGTCCGGGTCAGGTTTTGAAAGACATGTAAGCCCCTTTTCATTCATCTGTCCAAGCCTGATGTGTAAGACTTGATCTAGGCATTTTATTTATGACCACCTAAGAAGTTGAGACTTGTCAGTAGGTAACTTGTAATGAGGGTAATTGCTAACTGCATGATTGACATCTATCATTAAATTTGAGTTAAAACTAAAAGACCAACAAAATTAGTTTTTAACATGTTCAATACCTTCAATCGAAGTTGCTATTGACCCAAGCCTGGTGTCCCTGTGAAAGTAGAATCTACATGTTTGTTTTCATCTGTGCAGAGTTCCACTTTTCAGGGTTTTATGCAATGCACAAATGTGTGTCCAGTACGCAAAAATGTTGAGAATGAATGCAGAAAAACAATATACTGCGCCCCGAAGGATGCACAATAATATTCTTTGTACCTGCAGTGCATCAAGAGCAGTTATGGATTTCTGTCATTTCACCCATCAATCATGACCACTGTCCACATGGTAGTTGATTCATTCCAGGCTCTAAAGTAATTATGGAAATCTATATTACAATACATCCTTTCATTACTTTTCAGGGCCCTCATATTGCCTGCAAAGATCCTTAAGATAAATTATTGGGGGTCTCCCAGACCCCAACTTTTGTAAGTCACGGTAAAACCCTGACTCTTTCTCTGTGCAATGATCCACTGGTCCTTGGTTCAAGATTCTCACTGATTGTGATCCTTGGTTTGTCAGCATCATGCATGTTCCTGTTGGTTTGATCAGAGCGGTAAACATCTGTGACCTGCAGCATTTGAGTTTTTTTCCCCACACGGCTGATACACCATCATGTAACCAAGGATTTATCTAGGTCAGAGGCTCAGGCGAATATTTGGCCCCAAGTCTGCAGCCAATGTCATTACAAATTGTCAAATTGTAATAACAAATTTAGTTTAAGTTATAACCAATGTTATATGGCTTTGTATGGATGACTTGTATTTCAATGATTACAGGACCAATAAAGAGGATCGAAAAAGGTTTAGTTCATAGTTTTACACTATTGCATGGAGTGCAATGTTAAAACACCTCCAAATTTGAGAAAATAAGAACTTACCGGTAAACAAAAATCCCAGTTTTGAAAGAGTTTTTCCAAGTTTGTGCTCCAAGGGCACTTTGTTTGGAGTCCTAGATAAATACCTGATAACCTAAATTATAAAGCTGCTTTAAACCCGTTCACACTGTAATTGTTGTTGTGAAAATTGAAGTAAGACTCAGAAACTTTTGTCTTTTGTAGAAACCTGATGTCCTCACCACAGGCACAGGTGCCCCTGTTGGGCGCAAGAATGCCACCATGACTGTTGGACCACGGGGGCCTGTGCTGCTGCAGGACTTTGTGTTTACAGATGAGATGGCCCATTTTAACAGAGAGCGGATTCCAGAACGTGTTGTCCATGCCAAAGGAGCAGGTGATTGCTGATTCTTTTAAGTTTAATTCTGCACTCAGCAATATTGAAGCTATATGATGGTGGTCTGTAATCCAGTGATTGACATCATGAGCATCGATCCACGCAATTGGTATACGATGACATGCATCAACCTAGGCAGCAAGATGGACTGTGAAATAAAAACAAGCATGGGTTACTGAAGACTAATTCTAACCCAGATCTTCATTGGGAGTGTAGTTCTATCTGTTATTTATGACACTGTTTTTGTCAATAATAATTGTATCATTTCTTATAGTATTATTTGAAAGGTCAATTTTAAAGGATCCTTTTTTAAGCATACATCATGAAATAAAAAACATTTTTCAGAAAGAATTATGTATGAGCATATTAATTGGTCTTTGTAAACAAACAAATACTGGTCTCTGTCAGGAAGATGCACAGGTAATGATGACTTGAGGAAAGTATGGGAATATATGTTGGACATTACTTGTGTTGAATGTACTCATTTGTGTTCCCCTCATTGCAGGAGGATTTGGCTACTTTGAGGTGACACACGACATCACAAGGTACTGTAAGGCCAAAATATTTGAACATGTTGGCAAGAGGACTCCAATGGCGATCAGGTTTTCAACTGTTGGTAAGTGTCTCTTATGATTTCTATAAAACTGATGCCACATTACAGAACAATGTAATACTTGAAAGCTTTAATAATGAAACATAATTAAATACAACATGCCTATCATTGTCATAAATGCGTCTCATCCTATCATGTAGATACTTACTCAATGGCTGTCATAAACAGCCATGCTTAAAACCAACATCTTCCGGCCATGCCAGTGAAGTGCACCTGACAAAGACACTTACCAATTGCAAGTGTCTGTCACATGTTTGTTATAAGGGAAGTAACTCTGTATACATGTGGATTTAGTTAGCAGTTAGTGTAAGTGGTAGGTGATAGTGTCCTGGGGCAGAGAATTATGAATGTCAACTTCTTTATACAATGTTTCAGACTTCAGAGTATATGTTTACTCCTTCATCATCATCATTCACCTTCATCATCATACCCCGACACGTTGTATTCCTCTTGATGAAGTGACAAGTTCTTTTCTTTATGTTTATCACTTCTAAATGTCATTCAAAGACTTGAAAGTGTCCTGTTTGTATCTGTAGATTGACTTTTGGCTTCAGATGGTTTAATACCCAAATCTAGTATATGAGCTATGTAGATTATGAACATAGATTTTATTCCAAATGATTTTAAGTTTTTATGTTTTGAGGTTGTGAATTTATGACATTGAGGGTCATGGTGTTCAACATTATTTGATCAATATATGAGGCTAGCCCTAATTTTTTTTTTATCTACAGCTTTCCTTTTCAATATGCCAAGTTACAGAGGCTAACTCATGTATCAGGGTTGTTTTAAAATATTCCTTAAAGTATTTTAGAAAATAAAGTTGACAGACAAAAATGATGTTAAGAATTGGCTTTGTAACTTTTATTTCTACTATTTCCGATTCAGGGCAGGTTCATTCATAAAATTATGGACATTTTGGACCAGCCTAATGATAACAGCACAGACTAAAGCTAAAAGAGTGCACCCTCCTTGAATGTAACCAAAAGAATTATATTGTAACAAAGTAGTCTTGTTTACATTAATGTTTTCATAAACTTAAATATATAAGGTCCCACTAGCAGACTTCTTTTTGACTGATTGACCGATAATAGAATGGATGGGGCTCGTGTGGCATTATTGCTCTAAACGATGTATCTGATTTCGTATCCTTGTCTACATCTTTTATGTAACTAATGTTACCTTATTTATATTTATAGCGTTTTGGATGTATTGTTGTAAAAACTGGTTTGCACATTTACTGTAAAATACGCTATGTGCATTAATGCGACGTGCACACCAGTTTGTACGTTTTTACTTCCATAATCGCACATAATATTGATGTCAAATCTTGATTAATGTAGTTCATTATCCTTACCAAAACATCTTGTATTATTGATAACATCGATGATGTTTACTGCAAATGATCATATTAATGATACATGCATTGACTGCCTAAAGGTGGAGAGAAGGGATCAGCTGACACAGCCAGAGATCCCCGCGGGTTTGCCATGAAGTTTTACACTGAAGATGGAAACTGGGATCTTGTGGGCAACAACACTCCCATCTTCTTTATCAGAGACCCCATTCTGGTGAGTAGTGACAGTAGACAAACAGAGAACAGTCGTAGGATACTTGTAGTCCAGGAGTGGAATATTAGCAGAACGCTTGTAGTACAGGAGTGGAATATTAGTAGAACACTTGTAGTACAGGAGTGGGATATTAGCAGAACACTTGTAGTACAGGAGTGGAATATTTGTAGAACGCTTGTAGTACAAGAATGGAACATTTGTAGAATGCTTGTAGTACAGGAGTGGGATATTAGTAGAACACTTCTCGTACAAGAGTGGGATATTAGAAGAACGCTTGTAGTACAAGTGTGGAATATTAGTAGAACACTTGTAGTACAAGAGTGGAATATTAGTAGGACACTTGTAGTACAAGAGTGGAATATTAGTAGGACACTTCTAGTACAAGAGTGGAATATTAGTAGAATGCTTGTTGTTTAAGAGTAGGATATTAGTAGAACACTTCTTGTACAAGAGTGGGATATTAGTAGAACACTTCTAGTACAAGAATGGAACATTAGTAGAACGCTTGTTGTACAGGAGTGGAATATTAGTAGAACACTTGTTAAAGAGTAGGATATTAGTAGAACACTTCTAGTACAAGAGTGGAACATATGTAGAACACTTGTGAGTGGAATATTTGTGGAACTGTAAAAGTGAGTGAGTGAATATTGTTTGACGCCACAATATTTCTGCTGTCTTGGGATGACCGGAGTTTGGACCACGAGAACCAGTGACTCGAAACACGAGCAATGATCAGGGTCATCACGTTCTCATGACACCCAACGCCCCATAAAACATTGGAAGAACATGGGCATCTTTAATGCAGATATCTACTCTTCTGATGGTTGAACATACTGGGTCCTGTCTGGCATCTTGTCTTCTTTTACATGTTACCTCTCATAGACCAGGACCTCGTTTCATAAAGTGATGCTAGCGCCATGGCAGTCGTAAGTCTATGTTAAAGTATGAGAGCTATGATCACCTAGGCGATCACTTAGTGGAACGAGGCACTGATGGATTAAACTCATAACCAAGGAACTATGTGAGCTTATTTGTCTGTTTCAGTTCCCCAGTTTTATTCACACTCAGAAGAGAAACCCTGTCACCAACTTGAAGGTAGGACAGTCCACCTTGCCGGCATGGGTTAGATCTACATCCCTTTCTGTACACAGCATCTCACTTTTTCACTTGGAAGATACATTTAACTTTCAGTGGCTAAATTTACTCAGATGTTTGATATTATCATTGATTGATATGGAATGTGATAAATGCTGTAAGTTACCAAATTTCCTCAATAAATCACTGGACCTTGAATAATCCCTGGGGTCCGAGTAAACGCCAGGCCTCGATGTGACATTTGTGAAATTAAAGGTTGGCAGTTTCGTTATCCAAGTAATAACAATAACATGATGCCTGAGTATAACAAACACTGAGTATATCAGACACTGAGTATATCAGACTCTGTTAACATGCTTGAGTATATCAGACAATCACACTGACTGAGTATGTCAAACAATAACACAATGCTTGGAATTGAGTATATCAAATACTGCCAAAATGCTTGAGTATATCAGGCACTGAGTATATCAAACACTGACTAAATGCTTGAGTTTATCAAACACTGAGTATATCAAACTGCCAAAATGCTTGAGTATATCAGACACTGAGAATATCAAACTGCCAAAATGCTTGAGTATATCAGGCACTGAGTATATGAAACTGCCAAAATGCTTGAGTATATCAGGCACTGAGTATATCAGACACTGAGTATATCAGACACTGAGTATATCAGACACTGAGTATATTAGACTCTGTTAACATGCTTGAGTATATCAGACAATCACATTGACTATGTCAAACAATAACACAATGCTCTAGTATATGAAACACTGCCAAAATGCTTGAGTATATCAGGCACTGAGTATATGAAACTGCCAAAATGCTTGAGTATATCAGGCACTGAGTATATGAAACTGCCAAAATGCTTGAGTATATCAGGCACTGAGTATATGAAACTGCCAAAATGCTTGAGTATATCAGGCACTTAGTATATCAAACTGCCAAAATGCTTGAGTATATCAGGCACTGAGTATATCAAACTGCCAAAATGCTTGAGTATATCAGGCACTGAGTATATGAAACACTGACAAATTGTTTGAGTATACTAGACACTGATAAAATGGTTTCATGTGACATATTTGCGACCATGTTGACAGGACCCTGACATGTTCTGGGACTTCATTACGCTGCGTCCAGAGACCAGCCACCAGGTGTCCTTCCTGTTCTCAGACCGCGGCACTCCAGACGGTTTTCGCCACATGAACGGCTATGGCAGCCACACCTTCAAGATGGTTAACGCCCGTGGGGAGGCTGTTTACTGCAAGTTTCATTTTAAGGTAAGAGTGTCCTGTTAGATGGAGGTTTGAAGGGATAATGTGTGGTTGAAAAGTTGTTTATGCAGTTCATCTATTACATATTATTGTTGTGGATGCATTTTAATTCAAAAGTGTTCAAGCTTAGAAATAGTTTTAGGTCCAGAACTTGTTTTTGAACCTTTTTGTATACATACTGTCAGAATTTCAAATTATTATTTTTTTGCTGTTTCACAAGAAGACTTTTTTGGGTGTTAATTCTTTTTGTTTTTGTCTGATTTAATAAAAGAACATGCTTGTTTTAGATGAGCAGTCAGTCTTTAGAGGTGACCTGTATTGATGAGTGAGTGAGTTGGGTTTAACGCTGCATTTAACAGTATTCCAGTTATATTGCGGCGTGTCATTTTAGTGTGGGAGGAAAGCCCTAAGTGATGCAGGTCTCTGAAGTTTACCAATTTGATGAACCCACGAGCACGGGTATGGTGCTGACAAACCTAGACACATAATCGGGGCAAACCATGATTCAAACCCACAATCATCGGTTTCTGGCGTGCCCAAGGGACGCAACTCTGCACAGTGAATCGCAGCGATTTAGACGCCTGGGCCACCTGTGCCCCTTGTATTGAGGAGGTTGGGATCAAATTTCTTGCTGACCCTCCATTAAATTCTGACCCGAATTATTTTAGGATCTTAATTGTTTGTGAGCTGACAAGACATTTGGGAAAGTAGAAAAAAGACAACTGAGTTATATCCTTTATTAATTTATCAAAACAATTTTAGTGAAAGGTATTATGGTAAAATATTGTATAAAATGAACTTGAAGCATAACTTAATCCATCAACTAAGATAATTACCTGCCTACATCAGAAATGCCAGACAGTGTTTGGCAAACTCAAATATGTTAATGATGGCCAGATACGGTTGACTCACTCTTCCATGTATAAACAGACTGACCAGGGCATCAAGAATATGACAGGATCTCAGGCTGATCAACTCTCTGCCAGTGACCCCGACTATGCCACCCGTGACTTGCACAATGCCATTGCCGAGGGCAACTTCCCGTCATGGTCTGCCTACATCCAGGTGATGAGCTTCGAGGAGGCAGAAAGGTTCAGATGGAACCCCTTCGACCTCACCAAGGTAGGATACATGATCACTTTGTGCATACAGACTTCTTGGTAGAGCATACAGCTTTCTTGATAGACAATTTCCCTATAGTTGATGTGTGTATGAGTTGTAGGTGTGGCCTCAAGGGAGTATCTTCTGATCCCTGTTGGTCGTAACCGTTACATATTTTGCTTTAAATGTTGACAATTCTCCACAGTTCATACATGTGTTGTAGGTGTGGCCCCAAGGGGAGTGAGTACCCTCTGATCCCAGTTGGTCGTAACCATTACATATATTACTTTAAATGTTGTCACTTCCCTACAGTTCATACATGTGTTGTAGGTGTGGCCTCAAGGGGAGTGAGTACCCTCTGATCCCTGTTGGTTGTAACCATTACATATTTTGCTTTAAATGTTGACAATTCTCCACAGTTCATACATGTGTTGTAGGTGTGGCCCCAAGGGGAGTGAGTACCCTCTGATCCCAGTTGGTCGTAACCATTACATATTTTGCTTTAAATGTTGACAATTCTCCACAGTTCATACATGTGTTGTAGGTGTGGCCCCAAGGGGAGTGAGTACCCTCTGATCCCAGTTGATCGTAATCATTACATATTTTGCTTTAAATGTTGTCACTTCCCTACAGTTCATACATGTGTTGTAGGTGTGGCCCCAAGGGGAGTTCCCTCTGATCCCCGTTGGTCGCATGGTCCTCAACAGGAACCCCAAGAACTACTTTGCTGAGGTGGAGCAGATCGCCTTCTCCCCGGCCCACATGGTGACGGGCATTGAGGCCAGCCCTGACAAGATGCTGCAGGCAAGTTGTCCTGTCCAGTTACAGCTAATGTTGGTTTTGTTCATATGCTGAAAGGTTTTGACGGGCCAACTGAAACATTTTCTTAACAAATGCTCCCTTTGTGTTGTATGTTTAAGGTAAATGTTTTTGAAAAAATCTACTTTTAATCTTATCCATCCACAACAGTATGCAATATTCTTTCTTTATTCAATCATAAAACAGTGTAGAACAATGTAGAACTTTCACCTAAAAACACACCATCTGAACACCTCGCTTCACCTTGCTCCTTGTCATGTTTTCTCCATCGCCGAAGTGACAAGACGTATCAGCCACATGCTTCATTTTTTATTTGGGGTTAGACTTGTTTGTCTTTGGGTTGGATTACTCGGTGATAAATTCTTTTTTTGTCCCCCGCCGCGCGAAGCGGGGGATATAGTATTCACGACTGTCCGTCCGTACGTCCCACCTGTTTATTGCCGCGATATCTCAAGCACTAAACACTGGATTGTCTTCATATTTGGAACTAAGGTGTATATACAAATTCCGCAGACACCAGTCGGTTTTGGTGACCTTGACCCCATTTTCAAGGTCACAGCAGGCAAATCTGCTTTTGGAGTTGGAAACGGTGTTGCCGCGATATCTCAAGAACTAAACACTGGATTGTCTTCATATTTGGAACTATGGTGTATATACAGACACCGCAGACACCAGTCGGTTTTGGTGACCTTGACCCCATTTTCAAGGTCACAGCAGGCAAATCTGCTTTTGGAGTTGGAAAACGGTGTTGCCGCGATATCTCAAGAACTAAACACTGGATTGTCTTCATATTTGGAACTATGGTGTATATACAGACACCGCAGACACCAGTCGGTTTTGGTGACCTTGACCCCATTTTCAAGGCCACAGCAGGCAAATCTGTTTTTGGAGTTGGAAAACGGTGTTGCCGCGATATCTCAAGAACTAAACACTGGATTGTCTTCATATTTGGAACTATGGTGTATATACAGACTCCGCAGACACCAGTCGGTTTTGGTGACCTTGATCCCATTTTCTAGGTCAGAGCAGGCAAATCTGCTTGTGGAGTTGGAAAACGGTGTTGCCGCGATATCTCAAGAACTAAACACTGGATTGTCTTCATATTTGGAACTATGGTGTATATACAGACACCGCATACACCAGTCGGTTTTGGTGACCTTGACCCCATTTTCAAGGTCACAGCAGGCAAATCTGCTTTTGGAGTTGGAAAACGGTGTTGCCGCGATATCTCAAGAACTAATCGCTGGATTGTCTTCATATTTGGAACTATGGTGTATATACAGACACCGCATACACCAGTCGGTTTTGGTGACCTTGACCCCATTTTCAAGGTCACAGCAGGCAAATCTGTTTTTGGAGTTGGAAAACGGTGTTACCGCAATATCTCAAGAACTAATCGCTGGATAGTCTTCATATTTGGTACTATGGTGTATATACAGGCGGGGGACATTTCGTCACTTTGTGACAAATACTTGTTGTGAAACAATTACGTGTGCTTTTCTAGCAATATTTTGAAATATTAATGGCTGTGAACTTTCTTCCTTTGTGTGCATGTCATACTATGATACATGTTTTTTAACAATTGCAGTGCTCTTTGGTATCCTCCTTGTGTTCATTTCTGTGGTAAGTTTACTTGTTCCGTTGATACAGGGTATTTCCTGCTTTTTTGGTCGTCTACTGCACATGAACTTCATTCTGTGCTGGTTAAACTGCTCAGATGGTTATGCCTCCCCACATTTAACACGGAGTTGGGTGGGTTATTATTGCTCGTGGGTTTCATTCACAATTCTCACACTATTGTTGTAGGTTTGATGGACTACATTGTTATCACAGAACTAGTGTCTGGAGTTGATGACGACCATCAGTGTGTGGAATGTATGTAGTCCTCTTGGGATCCCCATAGCCTTTTCCCTGTTTGCTGGGTTTCCGGTTCCATGGTACTCCGGTATTCTTTGCTGTATACCGAGTCAGATTATGCCAGGCTCCATGTTCCTCCTGTAAGCCTGCCACTGTCGCTGCTCCAATGTCGGGACCACCTTTGGGTGTCTCATCTAGTGGGTCAGCCCAAGGGTGTTTCCACTCCTAGGGGCCCGTCGTCTCCTTCGCCCACCTGGTGAAAGGTGACTGACACCATTGCGCTGTCTTTGAGTGTTCGGACACCTGCGCTATTGCTATTATCACCTGTGCCCCAGCAGTGGCATTGATGCAGGTCACGATGTCTGCCACAGACACTTACTGGCAGGCTTTGTCTTGCATCGTGTCAAATCCTCTGGTTTGGAGCCTTCAGATGTAGCTTCATCTCTTGAGACATCTCTCCGCTCCAACTACCCTACCTGGAAGAACATGTGTCACTCTTAAGGCACAATAGATACAGCTCTCTCTACACAGGGAGACAAAAGAGCTCCTGCCTGCCAGGTTTGTACAGTCGTATCTTCCTGGTACCCCAAAAGGACTCATTGAAGCTGCGCATGATTCACAACCTGCAAATAACTAACTCACTACAACCAGGTGACTTACTGGCCTTGCTTTACCTCAAGGACGGCTACATGTATGTTCCGAATACTTTCCAGCATACCATCGTCACCTCTGCTTTATTTGCAAAGGCAGACATTACCAGTGGGAATGTCTGCGCCATCTCCTCACTCCCGTTCTACCCAGATAGCCACTGCAAAGTAACTCACTGCTATGCTTTAAATTTGGGGCTACCGCAAGTCTGACCAACGAGAAAAGTTGATGTGTGTATGTGTCAACTAGAGGTAGGACGATACACTGATGCATCGGTGGGTCGCGTTTTTTACTTTTTTAAAGATGAGTACCATATTTTCTTGAGTATAGTGTGCACCCATGTATAATGCGCACCCCCCTCTAGCGGGTTCAATATTTTGGAAAAAAAGAAATTTGAATATTATGCGCAGAAAAAAATTACACCGTACACCTTCAGCGAAGTCCGGCAAAGGAACGGGTGATGAGAAACTTCGTCAGTACAAATTCGAAATTTGAGATAACAAATCACCAGACATGTTGATTTACCATTTAAATTGTATTTTTTGTTCAGCTAGGCATTGTTTTAATCCAGGGATTAAGATTACCTTGTGTATTTTCTCGTAAACTAAGCCAGACACAGCAATTAGCTGTATACACGTTTTCTTGGAATCTACCGGTGATTCGGTCAAGACACACCCAATGATATAACTTTACAGTATTTTAATACAAGGATCGGCAAAAGTTGTATCTGAAACTATTTTTTTTATCAGGAATAATATATTCCAATATCTTGTTAATTTAGATGCAGCTTTTACTAAACATATTTAAAATAATAATAACCCTAGACGAAGCAGCTGATCGATATTGCCGGGTATTATTTTTTACATGTAACCAGTCTGACCAGTCACCTTCAAAGCTCCCGTGCACGTGATCGTGTGATCGCGAGAATTACGTGTTGACATAGAATCGTCCAACAAAAACAAATATGACTTTTAACGAATCAAAGTATGGCATTTATGATATATGTATCCATTCTCTGTCAACTCAAGTTTGTTTCAAGGTGTCAATAGCGGTAATCTGACCGTGGTTGCTGTTAATAACGGTGAGTTGTGCGATCTTCCGATCGCTTCATACACGATTTCGCCGAAATTAATTAAAACAATATTAAAAGGAATTTTGAATAAAATTAATGAAATAAGTTACAAACATAAGTCCAGATATACAAGAAACACTTTTCATAGACAGACAGTGTAATTACATGAATAATTTGCGAACTTCAGTATGGATTTGTTGACATGGTATTTCCAGTGTTACGTGCTCACGGTAATGTCTTTCCATGGGGGAAAAACATCAAAACTCATTAATTCAGGTATAATGCGCACCTCCTTCTACACAGCTGTGTTTATTGGAAAAAAAAGTGCACACTATACTCAAGAAAATACGGTAGCACAGGAACATGCTGGGAGTGAGGTGGTCGGAGGATGTGTTCGGGTGAATGTTCTACATTGTTCTACACCTTTTTACAATCAAAGGAAGAAGGAATATTGCATACTGTTGTGTCAGGATATGTATATAAATAAGAGGAAACACTGATTCCCTATATTTCTTCAGGGTCGTCTCTTCTCGTATTCGGACACCCATCGGCATCGTCTGGGCAGCAACTACCTCCAGATCCCCGTCAACTGCCCCTTCAATACCCACCGCCGCAACTACCAACGTGATGGACCCCAGTGTGTTGATGAAAACCAAGGTCAGTTGCTATTGATACAATCTGCTTAGGATATCGTAGAGCCACAACTCGGGATGTAGATTTCACAAAAGTAAAAAATGTACCACTTGCATACTTTGCTTCTTCTCCAAACTCACTCACTCACTCACTCACTCACTCACTCACTCACTCACTCACTCACTCACTCACTACTCACTCACTCACTCACTCACTCACTCACTCACTCACTCACTCACTCACTCACTCACTCACTCACTCACTCACTCACTCACTCAATCAATCAATCAATCAATCAATCAATATTATATTACAGAAATACTGAAAGGCCACAGGCCTATACTACATATCTTTGTGGATAGTGGGTGGACATATTGACTTCTACTTATTGAAGCCACTCATCTTATCATTTCCATTCATTGCATGGAATATATATGCAGTCAAAGGCTTCAGTACAGTAATATTTGGGGAAGACATTAATTCATTAATCTTAAATATATTTGGAATTTGTATGTACCTATCTATGAGCCTTTGTGTACACAATTTAACAAAATGTTCAGATAGGATATCATATGAAACAAAAGGGATAGGTTCACAAGACAGTTTATATTTTTCTGGAGGTTAAGTTGAGGACCATTTAACTGTGTATATGTCAAGTAAACCTTTGCATCAATACTTTAATTAGATGATATATTAACATGACTATTTCCTGCCATTTCACCTTAATCATCATGGCAGGTTTACTTCTTAACAAATTAGATGATTTAAAGTTTCAAATTGTATCCACTATTGCTTCCTAGGTGGCGCTCCAAATTATTTCCCGAACAGCTTCACTGGGCCACAAGATGACACCAAACACCTGGAGTGCCCTCTCAAAATATCCGGGGATATTGGCAGATACAACACGGCCGATGATGACAACTTCAGCCAAGTCGGCATCTTCTGGAGGAAGGTTAGTTTTGAAAGACCCTTATTTCTATTGCATATGTTGGGAGTGGTACGAACCTTGTTGTCATAGCCCATGTTGGGGACGGTGTAAGCTTTGAGTGTTGAGAGCCCCTTGGCCTATTAGCATGTATTGGGAATGGTGTGAGCTCTAAGTTTGAGAGCCCCTTGGCCTGTTGGCATATATTGGGAATGGTGTGAGCTCTAAGTTTGAGAGCCCCTTGGCCTGTTGGCATATATTGGGAATGGTGTGAGCTCTAAGTATTGAGAGCCCCTTGGCCTGTTGGCATATATTGGGAATGGTGTGAGCTCTAAGTATTGAGAGCCCCTTGGCCTGTTGGCATATATTGGGAATGGTGTGAGCTCTAAGTATTGAGAGCCCCTTGGCCTGTTGGCATATATTGGGAATGATGTGATCTCTAAGTATTGAGAGCCCCTTGGCCTGTTGGCATATATTGGGAATGATGTGATCTCTAAGTATTGAGAGCCCCTTGGCCTGTTGGCATATATTGGGAATGGTGTGAACTCTGAGAGCCCCTTGGTAAATTTGCCCATGATGAAAATCAAGAAAACTTCTGAACAAGGGAGGCCTAGAAAACCAGTTATTAGTAGCAGCCCAGTGAAATGTGACTGCTTTAACGTGTTATTGGAATTTGGCATTTGTGAGTGATGATTCTGGTACACAAAGAGTATTGTCATTATGTAGATTACACTGTTATGCTTAGGAGTTAGTGTTTAGTTATTACTTCTTAATACCATTTGCCTTCCAAACAAGGTAGAGACTGTTTGACAATATAGAAAATGAAACTTCAGTTTTGAATTGTTAACTCTTTGGGACTAAACAAGAAATTACTTTCCAACCTTGGCTGTCATGTGTATCGCCCAGGTACTGTCCCCCACTGACCGTGACCACCTGATCGACAACATGGCCGGACATCTCATCAATGCCCAGGACTTCATTCAGAAGCGGGCAGTCAGTAACTTCGGCCAGGCTGACCCTGAGTATGGCCGCCGACTGCAGGACGCTCTCAATGCCTTGAAGGCAAGGGCACAGGTGAGAATAGTACAATGTTGCCGAGGCATTGTTCATGGGTGTCCTTATGACAGCTATGTCACAGCAGCCCGTAAAGAACTGGTCAGGTTTTTTTCGTCTGGTTGGTGAACAATTCCTTGCAGTTTTCATGGCAACAAGTTTGACTTTGACTCTGTTCATATTGTTGTGTACCTGACATCGAAATACAAAGTTCCGAATCCCAATTCCATGGTATTGTTTTGACAGCTCAATAAATACTCTTGTATATGGACAGACAGGTTAGATAGAAATTCTCTCATCTGGTTGGACTAAAGTAACCGTCAGATGATTTGTTCTGGATTTGAACTGAAAGCATGGTTGCCCTGGAACAGAACTAAAGAGTCATTCAAGTTAGGTTTATGTAACTTGTTGCATACATTGAATTAGCAGTGTTAAACAACTTTCAATCACTTACAAGCATACAAGGATGGCAGTGGATAAAGATAAGTTTCTTCTTGTTTGTACTGATATTTTGAGGAATAGTGTGGATAATTCTCCAATATTGTTTTGGATCAATCAGAATATAATATTTTTTAGAGATTGGTTGGTACATAAAGTTTTGTATGTCACCCAAAATATTGCTGTACATGAAATCTTGATTTGAAACCTCTGATTGACCAATCAGAATAAAACATTTTCCAAAGTCATTATTACACCCCTGCTTTTATCACCAGGGAGTTGCCTAGCAGTTAAAGCATTGGTTGTTCATGACGAAGACCCGGGTCTGATTCCCCACATGGGAACAAAATGTGAAGCCCATTCCTGCCCCCCCCCCCATGATGATATAGCTGGAATATAGAAATAATGTAAAACTGAGTCACCTTATTGTACAGTTATCTTTCATGATGTGATTGTTTGTTCCAGAGTGGGGTCACCGCCAACCTTTGAGAAGCTGGGAAAAAATGTGTGAAAGGAAATTCTGAAGAAATTAGTTATCAGAACTGCTTTCAATTTGTTGATTCCATGATCACAGCCTGAAGACTGATGATGCACACTATTTATCACTTTAAAGAGACTAATAATTAATGCTGAATGACAAATCACTGATGATATGTCATACTTTGCTCAGAATCATATGTTGATTGGCAGGCTGAAATTGTTATCTCTTACATCTGAGCTGTTGACTTGGTTGATAACTGTTCCTAACACATAGTTGTGGGTCATATGCGATTCAGCAAATATATTTACACCAAGGAATCACAAAGCACTCAACACAGCTATACAGTAAGCGATACACATGTAGGATAAAAAGTGAGATGCTGGTTTCCTTTGCTTTGCAAGTAAATCACTTCCTGAAATCACAGACACATCCTCAGCTCTGATTGTTGAAGGAATGTTTAGGAACATGATTATTAGTTTGTCATCTGATTCTGATTTCAAGGAAGCAGTAACATCATTAGTTACTCATTAGCTGATAATGAAGACGAATATCATCATATACATAAAGGATACAGGTTAACACCATCTTGCTGTCACTGAGACTTGGAAGAGGGTCCTTGGTTTTGGCTTCCATTGTGCTTTCTGTGTTCATTTAGATTTTTGATTTAAGGAACCATTAAGGTTGTGATATGAAATGTTTTCTTCACATGATTGGTTTTCGTGTTCAGTATTTCATTAATCATATATTTGTTTTTGGTTTCTTGTATATTTGAACTTTTGATGTGATGATTGTGGTACTAAAGAACGAGAAAATCTAGTCGTTATAGAATCATTGAACAGTGAAGTAAAGGTTTGTAAATTTATTGAATTCAGTTGTGTCAGTGTAAATGACATGATTTGTGACTTCTGTTTGTGTATATTCAGAGAATGACTGCCTACTTTCCTTGAACATTGTGGAATAAATAATGTTTGAATATGGATCACCTGTGTATTGTGTTGATATTTTACTGAAAACAGAGACAACTAATTTTTTAAATGTGAAGATATGTGATATTGAATTGTTTTTCTCAGTATGTAAATTATTGGGGACAACTGGTATGATACCACCATGTGGGTAGTATATTAATTACCGGTAAGTAAATTTGAACTATTCAAATGACAGTTGTAATATTGAATGTGTTTGTTTATGATTAATGTTGCACTCCGCTGCAATCCAGCTATGTAACATTGGCCTGTTAATAATAGAGTCTGAACTGGATGGTGAGAAAATGAATCATTGTAATGGGCTGCTTTGGTGACTTGGTTGTCATCGTACCGACGACATGGGTCATTGCTCCTAATGTCAATCACTGGTTTGTCTGGCCAAGATTTGCAGGCTACCAAGATATGTCTGGATAGTGTACATTCAGATTCATACACACCCAACCAAAACGGCCCACGAAGATCTGGGGTAGAATAGGTCTTCAGCAACCCATGCTTGCCGTAAAAGGCGACTAAGCTTGTAAGAGGCGATTAAAAGGATCGGGTGGACAGTCTCGCTGACTTGGTTGATGCATGTAATCGATCCCAATTGCAAGGATCGATGTTCATGTTGTCAGTCACTGCATTGTCTGGTCAAGACTTGATTACTTACAGACTGCCGTCATATAGCTGGAATATTGCTGAGTGCAGCGTTAAACAATAAACAAACAAACACAACCAAAACAGCAGGAAGATGTTAAATATTTATTTGTCAGCTTTTTGTTTGGCAGACTACCAGATATGTGAACTGAGGAAAAGCTGCATGTTGATGTGAATTACCTGTATTGGTGAGTTGGCGTGGCATCTCAGTTGACAAATCATTGAATAACTGATATCAAACGGGTTTTCGATTTTTAAAGATAAACAAACCTTTTCACATGTTTGTTCTCTGAAAAAACCTTTAACATTGAGTGCATGTATGTTTTTCATTTTGTTCTAGCTATAATAAGCATTGCCAGATCTGTCACAGCTGCCATCTGGGTAGACTAAGGGGACATTATGTTCCTTGAGTATATTCTGTATCAGAAAGAAAACCAGGGTCTTGGTGTATGTAATCCGACCTACTAGTAATGGGCCCCATGTGGAGTATGTGTTGACGCCACAAGCGAAGCGTTCATAAAATATTTTATATGCAAACCTTTTTGGACTATAATTCTGACATGAAGAGAGCACAACAACAGCACATTCGACGTTTTATTTTGATAACCTCGATATGTAAAAGTGTATTGTTAACGGCGCAATCAGCAATAAACCAGCTTTATTACGGCGACCTGTTAATAAACGAATCTTGACCAGACAAACCAGTGATTGATAACGAGCAACGTCAAACACCGTCTAAGTACGATGGCGCGCAATCAACCAAGTCCCCGAGCCTGACGATCCGATCCATTCTGTCGCCTCCTACGACAAGCAGAGGTTACTGAGGTATTATTCTAACCCGGAACTCCGAAACAAGGGTCTTGGCACATCAGGAGATAAAGAAAAACATGTTAAACAACATATCAAACAATTTGCATGTGCATCACGGAGAATGAATGTAAGAGTTAATGGCAGTGGCAGACCTCGTGACATTTCAGCGATGTCTGTACGCATTATACTGTGGAATATTTTGCTTTGTGAGGATAAATGGACACTATTTATCATTACCTAAATGAAGATGGAAACTCATTGCTCGGTAATTACCTGATAAACAAGGGTTAGTGTATCTAGCTGTGACAAGGGCTAAGCTCAAGGTTAGGTGATTTACTTTATCTTCCTTAATTCGCTCTGAATAGTTTTTACATTCCACGAGTGTGACTCAGTGTGTAGTTATACTCAGCCCTAATACCTGTGCAGACATGTACACTGGATATACGAGGAGTGACTGGAAAGTTCGGAGCCTATCTATGGTGGACTGCCTTGGTTGCTAATTATTGTTCAACATATTCCCCACCGAGGTCCACACACTGCTGTCAGTGATGCTGGAGTTCCTGGTTCCTACTGGTGTAGGAGGCTTCCTCCCGGTGGTGTAAAAAAATAATGACGTCAGAAATGACGTTACCATCATTTGCACAGTGTTTGCCAGACAATGTTGTCGTCCGTGAAGATCCGGAGTAGAATACGTCTTCAACAACCCATGCTTGCCGTAAAAGGCGACTATGCTTGTCGAAAGAGGCGACTAACGGGATCGGGTGGTCAGGCTCGCTGACTTGGTTGATGCATGTCATCGTATGCCAGTTGCGTGGATCGATGCTCATGACATCAGTCACTGGACTGTCTGGTCCAGGCTCAATTATTTACAGACCGCCGTCATATAGCTGGAATATTGCTGAGTACGGCGTTAAACAACAAACAAACAGACAGTATTGTCATGTTTTGGAAGAGGTGAAGTTTCTGACGGTGTCAATATCTGGTGAATACAGGAGATGTTCAATGAATTCAAAGCCATTGTCATGCATTGCAGCCATGGCGAGAACAGACGAACACATGTGCATTGTCCTGATGAAACAATACACTTTGAGTGCCTGGGTTTTCCAAAGGTTTAGCCTTGATATTTCCTTAGGTGAGGAAGTCCACCAGTAGGATTCCTTTGGAATCCTAGAAAACCGAAGCCATCACCTAGCCCGCTGATTAAACATACTCTGCCTTCTTCAGAGAGGCGACTTTAGATGTTTCCACTGCTTTTATTATTGTTTAGTCTCAGGCTGATAATGGTGAACCCAAGACCCATCCGTGGTTACACAGCTCAACAAAATCAGCTGGATCTGCTTAAAAACGACGTAAATTCTCACTAGAGATGATGAATCGGAAGCGCTTCAGATCAAGAGTTTCCTCAGAATGTACTAAACTGAGAACACGAGAGATACCTACTGCTTTGGCAATGTGACGTGCGGTGTGTCCTCGATTATCCATAATTATATCAGCCAGTTTATCAACATTTACCTTAGTGATGAAGGGCTTCCTGATCTTGATTATCTTCGATGTTCTCTCTCTTCCCCTCTTGTACTCTGGCCACCCGTTAACAGTCGCAAAGGAAGGGGACTCATCCCCATGACACCATGTCCACATAGATTGCTGTTGGACTTCGTCGTTTCAGTTGGAGATAGCAGTTGCCAATTGTTGTCCATTTTGATCAATGCCAAGCCTATATTTCTTAAAAATGTGTTCGTTATTAGTAGTATCTCAAATTGGGCCAAAGTGGAAATCCCGAAGTGATGCCAGTCTTTCCAGTTACCGCGATTATCTTTTTCTTCTTTACCATCGTTGTGTTTTATAGATACATGTACACGACGTTTATGTCTAAATAACAAGTAATTGAAAATGCTATCGCTTTGATAATAAAGTGTTGTTCAGTTGTAGTTATTTTCACTGAACGGTCCATCGTAAGACCTCTCCTCGATAATGACTTTTGCATGATGTCAAGATACAGGTGAAATAAATTGGGGTTAAACGTCGTGCTCAAGATAATTGCACTTGCACTAAGTATATGAATAAATAGTGTGTGGCTGCTTGTACTGATCCACCTATTGCCGGTTTTTTAGTGCTAGCCCACTTAGATACCATGCCGCAGTTTACTACTGTCTCCGAGTCAACAGTCCTTGTTTGAGCCCCTAATGTCAAGCGCAATGCAGGTTAACAATAAGTCCCATCGTTTAACATCATTTGGTAAGATGCAGCCAGGGATCAAACCACAGACCTTCTGCTCTGCCGGCAGGCGCTCTATCCACTGGGCCATGGAGTCGACCCACCCAGCAGTTACAAAGGAGATTCAGTATAATAGAGTTATTCCATGTTAGCGTTATTTCCTAAAATGACGTCATTAATACAACGAACATAGGAATGTAAAAGACAAATGTCGCTATTACCACCTGACAAGAAATCTGAGAAATAAATAAAATGTTGCAAGTAAGGAGGTCTAATGTTTCATAATTCCAAACCTCCGAAATGTCTGACGCATCGTATCTGTGTAATAAATGTTTTTCTGCTCTACTCAAGAGAGATATTTATTACCAACGAACGCCCTTTTTTATTGTCACAATCTATCACCTGACAGTTATCAGTTCCGCACTTTGATGCAGTCTTCCTGACGCAGACAACGATATAGATCATTACGTCTTTGAGGCGACAATGTGTACTTTACATAATCACTGGAGCCGTCACTGCTGGGGTCATTCCACCGTCGTGTTAAACTTTTTATAGGCTTAATCAGAACGATTGAAATGCTGAAGGGCTAATGAGAAGTAATTTTGAATTAGAATAACAGGCGCATATAGAAGGTACACTAATACGACGGCATACCCGTGCTGTCGAGTAGGGGGTAGGACAATAGACACAGGTATAGAATACATAACTCTTCTTGATAAATAACATATTTATCCTATTGAGTCCCAGCATGATATATTTATCATATCTAACTGTGACTAACAGTTGATCACATACATGAAATACAATGTAAATTTACTTTTAATCCTGCCATGCGACGGCGGTCTGTGAACACACCAGACAAACAGGTGATGGGCCAGACCATTCATTGACACATTAGCGCATTAACAGATTTTGTTAAAACCAATAACGATGTGTTTATTTTGAATTACGTCTGCTGTCTACACATTCTAGTTTGCTATTAACAATCCTACATTTTCTTTACAAAATCTGGAGATCCAAATAAAAATAACTACCCGTTGTTGTGTTCGTCTGTCGACTACACTCCTTATCATTTCTAAACTCTTCTTATCATTCCTAATGTTCAGACAATAACATTTTCAAAAGTAGATGTAGTATCTGTGGTTAGTTGATACCAGCTATCGATTGAAGAATCCAAGGGAGAACGCAAGTCGGGACATTATCTGAAGCAATATTATGGCCTGACATCGAAACATAAATCGTCAGCACCACAGAATAACAGTCTCTATTATCCGACGAAACATATTCCATTGGGCAAAATAGCGGTAGCAAATTATTTGAATGGATAACAGAAAATC